TCTATATTCTTGTTTCTCAAAGGAAACGAGAATAGATAATGAAATTCTTATTTCTCAAAGGAAACAAGAATCGAAAGTGATATATTTCATCAAAGTGAAATATACACTCTTCCTCTCATCAGCTCTAAGACCGAATTTTGAGGGATCCTACAAGCAATAGCCAACAACCCAGAAAACAGTAAATACACGAGATTTACGTGGTTCGGCAAACTTGCCTACGTCCACGGGAGGGGTGAGGGGAGATTCCACTATAAGGAGAACACCGACGACTTGTACAATCCACAAGCTCGTCTCAAAGATCTGATTTTTTACCCAAAAGAAATAAACCTCTCTTTTGTAGAATCTCTCTTTTTCTCTCCTCTCAAGATCTCTCTTTCTCTCTCTTTTTCTTTTTCTCCAAGCCGCCGTTCCCTGTTGCTTGACTGCAGCCGGCTAAAGAAAAAATTTCCCCCTTAACACGAAACCCTAGGAACAGTTTACATTTATAGGAGAAACTTGCTACACATATGATTCGGGTGGGCCCGGCTTTTCAATCACTGCTGCACCGCTTCTTTTCCCCTGGTTTCGCGTGAATGGATATTCACGTGTGAGTGGATGTGGCCCCCACTCACGTGAAAAACTTCCGCTCACAATTCTCCACCTCGTACATCATTTGATAAACCTCAAATTTTGGACGAACACCAGAAGAACACCGCGAACATCACCAGACCAAAACTAGGCCAAACTAGTTGCGCCACTTTACCGCGGCTGCCTACGTACCCTCCACCGGGATCAAGCTAACCGTAGTTCTATAATTGTTCTCCATATAGTCTCCGTGCAAGAAAGCCGTTTTAACATCGAGTTGTTCCAGCTCAAGATCACCATGAGCAACAATACTCAATAGCACCCGAATAGAAGTGTGTTTCACCACCGGAGAAAATATCTCATTGTAATCCACACCCTCTCTTTGTGCAAACCCTTTAGCCACTAGCATTGCCTTGTACCTTGTACCACCGAGTTCTGTAGGATCTTCCTTTCTCTTATACACCCACTTACAACCAATAGCTTTTCTTCCTACGGGCAATGGGACCACCTCCCATGTTTGGTTCTTTCGGAGAGATTTCATCTCCTCCTTCATCGCAGCCAACCAACTCTCACTATCTTTATCTCGAATAGCTTCCTTGAAGGAGACCGGCTCATCTTCCTCCACCGAGAGTGCGTATTCAACCAAATTAACTTGCCCATAGTGCTTCAGGGTTCTCAGCTTCAGTACCTGCTTATATGCTCGCCTTGGCCTAGTGAAAGCCAAACTATCCTCGAGCTGCTGTTGTTGTAGTGCATGTGTATTTTCTTGCTGAACCTCCTCCTGCTCAAGCTCATCATCTACCTGATTTCCCACTTGAACATGACTAGAACCTGGTTGGTCTTTAGGTTCTATTTCAATAACCTGGGACTTTGAAGTCCCAACAGTCCCAACACCATCATCCTTGGGTGCCTTAGCAATCATGGATTTTTCATCAAAGGTAACGTCCCTGCTTATCACGAACTTCGAATCTTCTGTACACCAAAGGCGGTAGCCTTTTACGCCCTTCGCATACCCTAAGAATATCGCCTTCTTAGCCCTCGCGTCAAGCTTTCCCTCGTTGACGTGATAATAGGCGGTACATCCGAAAATTCTGAGCCTCTCATAATCTGCATGTTCCCCTGACCACACCCTATAGGGTGTATCACCATCCAATGTCGAATGTGGAGAACGGTTCACAATGTAACATGCTGTAGCCACCGCTTCTGCCCACCATTCGTTGCCCAATCCAGCATAAGATCGCATACTCATTGCCTTCTCCCGCAATGTTCGGTTCAGTCTCTCCGCGACCCCGTTCTGCTGTGGTGTTGACCTGACTGTCCAGTGTCGAACAATGCCCTCCTGATCACAGAACTTCTTGAAAGCACCATCTGTATACTCTGTACCGTTGTCAGATCTTAGTGTCTTCAATTTCTTGCCCGTCCTGTTCTCAACCATTGCTTTCCACTTCTTGAATGTCTCGAATACCTCATTCTTATGCTTAAGAAAATAAATCCAAGCATATCTCGAATGATCATCTATGAACGAGACAAAATACCTGGAACCACCCTTGGAAGTTGTCTGAGCCGGACCCCAAACATCCGTGTGCACATAATCTAGTATACCTCTGCTCTTGTGATTGCTTTTCAAGAATTGGACCCTGTGCGCCTTTCCGTACACACAATCCTCACAAAAATCCATGCAAGGTTTCTTCAGATTCTTCAGCAAACCCTCCTTACCAAGCAGAACCAGACCCTTCTCTGACATGTGCCCAAGCCGCCTATGACACCCCACACCACCACCAAAAAAAAAGACAGAACAAGATATTGAGAACTCGAACTACATGCATCGTGCTCATTTCAATTTTAGTCAATTATGAAAAAAATCATAAACCATCAATAATTTTCATTTGTTCAATGAAGCGTTCATTTATCATTAGCAATGAGTATATTTTCTACATGACACATACTTAAAGAATAATGATATCTGGCATATTCAAGCAAAGAGTAGGGATACGTGGATGTGGAATTTTTTTTTGAAAAGCCAGAGATAAGACTCTGAGAATATATGGAAGTGCTGACAATTTGATGCAACTAATACAAAGATGTTCCAGGAATTCAAAAATCCAGCTCTCTATGCTGTCAAATCTGCCTAGACATTCTTTTGTCAGTTGGTTAGCAATTCAAGATCGTTTGCTCATACAAGATAGACTGATCAATAGAAGGATTGTGAGTGTTAACAATTGTTGTTGGTGCTCTGGTTATGAGAGCAAAGACCATCTCTTTTTTGAATGTCACTACTCAAGGGATGTTTGGGACATGGTTATGAATTGGCTACAATTCATGTGGAGATCTTGTATTTGGAGTCAGATTATAAACTGGTATTTCTTTAGATTGAGGGGGAATGATTTCAAGCAAAAAATTAAGAAAATGACTCTCACCTCAACAATCTATAGTATTTGGTGTGAAAGGAACTCCAGAATTTTCAGACAAGAAGGAAAAACTGTTGTTCAACTGTTTAAGGAGATAAAGTTTAACATTCTATCTAATATCCTCAATGTCTCCTTCTCGGCGGAAGATAAAGAATGGCTTAGTACTTTATAATTTCTTGGGAATGTGAGTAGCTGTTAGTTAACATGTAATCTCAGTCTACTGAGGAAGTTGATGTGCTGAACTTTCAATATTTGGAAGATGGATGAAATTTTTGTTGACAAAAAAAAAGTATATATATTTTCATATCAGGCATGTAAGGATTACAAGAAACACCCTGCTCAGAAGGAATCAATCTAACACTTAAATTCAGTAGGAATTGGATTGTGGTAATCAATCCAAACAATTGAACTCAATAGGAATTGGATTGTGGTACATAGAAGACTGTATGAAATGATAATAATTCAGGATGGATTGTCCAATAGTTGGAAGACAGTTGAAAAGTGTCTTGCCTCAGATTTGTGAACATATCGGTGTGATGTGTACCCGAGATCCACTAAGTGAATAGGAAAAATCATTCTTCCCATTGAATTTTTCAATCTCGTATTTTCCAACTTTAACCGTTTTACTTGTTGACGCCATTCTCTGCTTGTCTTAGGAAATTACCGAGCACCACCTCAAATCAGAAGCTACACCACTCCCAATCTGAATAACAGCTCTGATACCAATTGTTGGGCGCAGAGTCACGCCCACCGCCGCGGAAGCGATATGTCCTGAGAGAGAGCCCTGGCTTTTGTTGTCACAAAAGCACAAGTCAACCTCGATATCTGTGTTTCGCGAAGGATACCCAGACTCAGTAGCGAAATATCTCAGCGAAGTGAGATATCCACTCTTCCTCTAATCAGCGCAAGACCGAATTTTGAGGGATCCTAAAAGCAATAGCCAACAACCCAGAAAAACAATAAATACCCGAGATTTACGTGGTTCGGCAAACTTGCCTACGTCCACGGGAGGGGTGAGGGGAGATTCCACTATGAGAAGAACACCGACGACTTGTACAATCCACAAGCTCGTCTCAAAGAAAAAAATCTGATTTTTACCCAAAAGAAATTGACCTCTCTTTTGTAAATCCCTCTTTTTCTCTCTTTTCAAAAAACTCTCAGCTTTTCTCTCAAAACAGCCGCCAAGAACTCCCTGCAGACTTTTCTCCAAACTGCTGTACCCGCAGACTTTTTCCCTTTGCTGCAGCCGACTAAAATTTGCCCTCTTAGCCTTTTGTTTCCCCGCACAGCAAAAAAACTAGAGATCATAGGTATTTATAGGAGATGATGCGGTTATTAAAATGAAACTTGGGCCTTGGCATTTACCCGCTGGATGTTATCTCTTTTCCCGTGAAAAGATAAGTTCAGCTTTTACCCGCTGAATAAAGCACATAGCTCCTTATCTCCTCACACGGCTTTTACCCGCTGTGTTTTTTTTTCTTTTCTTACCTATTCACAGAGATGCCAGGTTGTCCCCATGTACCCCACGTGTTCACACTAGTATAAACACTTGTGTTGGAAATTAGAGAGTAGATGAGGAGATAATATTTTTTATATTATTCATCAACTAAAAGTGCCTTTATATAGGCTTACAAAACAACTTAATCATCATAAAAATCTAAACTAATTTTAGATTTATTAGCCACTACTCCACTAACAAAATAACAACTAAAGACTAAGTCAACTTTGAATCATTCTTCAACACTCCCCCTTGATCCACTACTCCACTAACAAAATAACAACTAAAGACTAAGTCAACTTTGAATCATTCTTCAACACTCCCCCTTGATTCAAAGTTTCTTGTCATTCCTTTTGAATCTTCATAGAGCACTTCTCTCCATAATCTTGTAAAGCACTTCTCTTCACTTTGTGATGCACTTCTCATCTCAATCTTGTTGACGTACATAATCACCAACATTTCTTAAAGGAGCACTTCTCTCCACAAGCACTTGTCTCAATCTCTCCATGGCGCACATCTCACCATGATTCTTAGAATAAAATTTCTTCTTCAACTGCTTGTGCCATGTTAGCAAAGAAACCTGACTTCACAGAAGGCTTTCCTATACGTTCATAAGGTGCCAACATACCAACCAAGGCAATGTCCACAACAATTCCCACCAAAAGATCACCTGCATACAGCTCAAACTCTGCCCAGAAATCCATCCCCCTCTTATGGACATCAGCAAATGTTGCACAGCAAGAGTCTATAACTATCTCAGTGCCAACTTTAAAAAGAAATGAGGGATCCGCCAGCATTCGATCCCGCAGCATGGAACACGACCTCATCAACATCCCAAGAGGCCAAACTGACCCCTGCAAATCTAGATATCTAAGAAAAAGCAACCTCCGAATTCCCACGGATTTGGCTGCCTCCAACATATCATTAGGCAGCGTCCCCCCTCGAGCCTCCGCCTCTTTCATCACCTCCTCAAACTTTATTATCGGACTGAACTCAATTTCCTCATAATCGTCGTCGTCGTCGCAATTTTGCTGCAATTTGGCTCTGATACCATGTTGGAAATTAGAGAGTAGATGAGGAGATAATATTTTCTATATTATTCATCAACTAAAAGTGCCTTTATATAGGCTTACAAAACAACTTAATCACCATAAAAATTTAAACTAATTTCAGATTTATTAGCCACTACTCCACTAACAAAATAACAACTAAAGACTAAGTCAACTTTGAATCATTCTTCAACACTCCCCCTTGATCCACTACTCCACTAACAAAATAACAACTAAAGACTAAGTCAACTTTGAATCATTCTTCAACAACTTGATGATGTGAATTTTAGAGTTAACTTCTACAAATTCTAGAGGTGGCTTCCATTGAGCTCATGCCATGTAGTACCTAATCATGCATAACGCTTAAATTCACACTTTCAATTGTCCAACTGCTTTAATTACCCTTCATCATGCTCCAATCTTGCGAGCCCGTTTTGCGATATAAGCTAATTTAAGATTCTCCGTGTGTAACACATTACTCAGTTCCATCCACCATAAAAAATAATTAGCCAAACATATAGAGCCCCATAACTCAAAATTTAAACTCATCTACGTCCTCACGTCTATCCAATGTGGAATTATATTTGGAGTATCAAAAAAGATTACGTTTTACTCATCATTTGACGCTCTAGAATGACTAGATCACACATGGAATTAGCATAACAACAGATAAACACGTACGTTTCAATCTCCAAAAGCGGACTAGGTTCTCTCCACACAACGCTTACACATGTAACCATGGCTGGCTCTCATGTTGTGGAGACCACTGAAACAAGATTTGAGTCCCCAATAATGAGGTAACTGATGACGTGGACCCAAACTGCATAATAGACCAAACCAAGAGCCTGAAAGTCTCGTACATGCATGAAAAGTGCCCGCTTTCAGTTATAGGGGTCCCTACATTTTTACTGATGATGTGTGTTCCCATGCACTGCAGTGTATCATATCTCTTCACATGCATGCACGCAGCTGTATATAGACCAACGTACACAAAAAGATCCTATATATCATTAGATCATCACTCTCCCATGATGGGCCTAGCTAGAAAGGTCAGGTTGTGAATGACAAGCTTTCTTTTTAATTTCATTTTTTATTTTTTATTTTTTTGGAGACTGCAACTTCTAGAAAGGATCTTAAGAGATTGTTGATCGTGGATGTGGCAGTAGGCACTATCAAATTGCAACGATCTAATTTGGGAAGGTGTATATCAAAATCTGAACATGGAAAAGATACGGAAAAAAGAGAATTAGTTCCCTAAAGAAAAGGGAAAAAGAAAAAGAACAAACGAAAAAGTTATGGTCAAATGAGAAATTTATAAAGATTGATGTTCTAATATTATATTGGACTAGTTAGATAGGACGTTCATAATGCATACGAAAAAGAATTGAACTGTATTAGGGGCTGTTTGGTTGTTAAAATAAAATCAAATTCTAGGATAGAAAACCCAAAGTTGATTTTCCAACCAATTTGCAATAAATTTGTTAGGAAATGGGGTTCTTAGAAAAGTGGTCAATATATTCACGTATTTTTAAAAGCACATGCCATCCAAACATTATAAAAAAAAATCATTTCTAAAAAAGTGATTTCCATAAATTGTTTCCACCCATTTTTAATTTTTCCCAACCAAACTTAAAGAACAAAAATATTTTCTTGAGAGAAAAAGCCTCAATTTGGTGAGGGGCAAGGCAAAGTTGCTTGGTATATTTCATGGTATTAGACCATTAGCAGTCCATGCGGAGAGTTAAAAAAAGTGTTTGACTTGTAGTTAAATCCTTCATGGATTAGAAATATACTTACAATGAATCCCTTAAGATTGATTAAGAGCTTTGGAGAAGTTTTATTTTAGCCCATGCTAAACACGGTCTTACCTACTTGTTTTGATTTCTCACTTAAAAAACTCTTTTAATCCCTATCTTTTACTATTTTCAACCCTGCAAACATTAAAATGCATACTTTTAACGGAGCCAGAGAGAAAAAAAGAGTATCAAACCAAAACAAAAGCAAAGATTATGAATTAACTTAATAAAAGAACAAAAGTTAATACCATATTTACCTTATTTTTGCTTTTTTACATCTCTACCTAAATATCTATAGTTTTTATTATAGAAAGATTGGTGTTGCTATATATACATTTAGGGAATATGTTATTATTATTGTATTTTTCAATTTTATTCTATATCAATTTAGTGAATGAATATGTCAACATGATATCTATAAAAATTAAATATCTCTATTTGGTTTAGAAAATAAAAAAAACAAAAATTTTGGTAAAAATACTTAAATTATAAAACTTACACTTTCATTCTCTTATGCATTAAGTAGTAGAAAATGAATGGTGGAAAATAATATCCAGAAAATCCTAGATTATCAACTCATATTCATGATTTTCTTACCAAATAAAACAAATATTACATCTTAAAAAAATATTAAAAATGACAAAATTAATAGATGCGTGAAATAAATATGAACCTTGAACTTGAAATTTAAAGAAGGAGCTTGAAAAGGTATTCCTAATTAAACAAAGCAAATAATGTTTAGATTTCTTTTCTTGTTAGTTAATTTTCTTATACTTTAGATTTCTTTTCTTGTTCTTTTATATTCTTATTTTGTAAAATGAGTAGCTAAATCTTGTAGGAATTCTAGAACTGTATGAAACTAGTTTAATTTCTTTTAAGATTTATGAGTTACTCTCTTGTGCTTAAATTAATCATGTTTAGGATAATCAACTAGAGAACTAATTCATAGAAGAAGAATTTGATAATCTATGCTTATCTTAAGTGGTTTGATAGGTATGAATTTTAGAATTAATATTTAGTTGTTGTTCTTTTCATGAATGTTGATTTTTCTTGGATGATAATTTGATAAGTTATGCTTTCCTTAAATGGTTTGATTGACTATACTTAGAAAATCTAAAGCAAAATATGATAAATAGAGAATAGTTTATAAATCTTAAATGAAACAAACTAGTAGATTCTATTCTAGATTTCTATCTTCTCAACTTGATTTCCTCCATTTTCGATTTGTCTTGATTTTCCTTTTCTTGAATTTTTCTCTTCTTGGATTTAAATTTTTGTGAATTTTTTCTTTTCTTAAATTTTGTTCTTTGGAAAAATTGTGTCAATGCCCCAAATTTGAGAAGCCTATGCGACCCATCCCCTCTTACTTTTTACCAATGTGCTTAAGCCCTCAATTATTCAAAAAATTGTGCTCGAGCCCCTCCAGCGCATCTTTAGCCCAATTTTATATGTATTTTATCAAAAATCCAACTTTACCCCTCCCCAAAATCACCATTATCCCTCCTCCATTAAAATGCTCACGTCTTCTTCCTCCTCTTCCTCCTCTATCCTCATCTAAAAATCTAAGTGCCCTTAACCCTAGCAATCTCACCTCCTTGGGGTTCAAATCTATTGGACTGCTAGCTATTATCTACCAATGAAAGTACTTCAAAAAGTGGATGAGTTATGCAGGAATTATCTGTGGGGGAAAAATGACCAGTCTCTCAAAGTTGCTCTTGTTTCTTGGGAGAAAATTTGTTTGTCTAAAGATCAGGGAGGCCTGGGTATATATTCTGCTGCAAATTGGAACAGAGCCTCTGCCATTAGGAACATGTGGTATGTTCACATCAACAAAGAGCTGCTGTGGATCAGATGGATTCATGGTAATTATTTGAAGAGAGACAGCATATGGCAAGTAAAAGCAAGAAATGGGGATTCTTGGACTTGGAAGCAGATGTTGAAAATAAGAGACAATGCTTTGATTCAATGTGGAGGGGAGCATTAATATGCCAATAAATCCATAATAAAATTATACACATGACCTTCAGGTTCTAAAATAAGTTTCATAATTCTAGTAAAGTGCCATGGAGCAACACTGTTTGGGGAGGTTTGAACTATCCTAAACATTCCTTTATTTGTTGGCTTGCTGTCCAAAACAGGTTGCAAACAAGGGATAGATTGATGAAGAGAGGGATCGTAAGTGAAAATATGTGCACCTTATGTTCCGGTCAAGAGAACAGAGACCACTTATTCTTTGATTGCCCTTTTTCAAGTGAGATTTGGAACCAGGTGATGTTGTGGCTCCAATTCAAATGGAGAGCCTGCAATTGGCATAATCTTCTGGACTGGTACTGTAACAAGCTTAGAGGTAGAGGTGACAAAGTGAAGATCAAAAGACTGGCGTTTACTACCACCCTGTACAAAATTTGGTGTGAACGCAACTGTAGAATCTTCAAACAACAGTGCAGGAGCAAAGACCAATTGATAAAGGAAATCAAGATGGACATACTGATCATTGTCCTTAATAGCTCATTGGCGGATAACCTCAAAGAATGGATTAGTCTCTGTTAATAGCTTAGAAAGATATATGATCTTTTTTCTGATTTGTTTTTGATTTCTTGATACCTCACAAAGGAGGTTCTTGATGTTCTCAAAAGCTTACATTTGGTGAATGAATAAAATTTATTTCATTGACCAAAAAAAAAAAAAAATCTCACCTCCTCCTCCCACTGCAATCACTCCTCCCCCACCACCACCATTGACCTCATGATCCCCTCATTCCATCATCCTCTTCTCTTGCTCCTTCCTCATTCTCTCCTCTGTCTCCTGCCTCCTCTCAGTACTCTCCCAAGTAATTCTAACCCCATCCACCAACCCTCTCTTATTCCTCCTCCTCCTCCTCCACCCCCTCCTCAGAATCTCCTTATTCTACTCCTGCAAGTGTAGAAACCCTAGGTGCAAGGGATTGAAGAAGGCGATAAAGTTAAGTGTCCATATTTAAACCGAGTATTGGATGAGGGAGAAGGGAAGGAGTAGAACGAGATCGAAGATCTACCGTGAAAAAGCGGGCAACAAGGGAGGAACCCCGATAATGAGGTTTTGCGTGCCGAGCTGAGGAAGATGGCATCGTTCAATAGCCAGACTGTGTTACTATTTCGAGTGAGGTTTTGGTGTCAGCTTGCTAGTTGGAGGTTTGGGGGCCGAAGAAGGGCCGACAAGGAATTGGAGGCTAGAGTTAAGGTTTTGGCACTTCAAGGTAGTTGGGTGCAATAAAGGTGTTTGATGAAATGCCATACATGAATGTTGTTGCTTGGATCTATGCTATACTATTAAATCTTGAATTCATCAAAAGAAGCAGCTCAAATTACTATGTTTTTTATTGTTTTATTTTGTTGGTCGTTCATAAGATACGAGAGAGATTTTTTAGAGGATTAGTCTTTGTTTAAAATTTTATTGTACATAGGTCATTTTGTTGGCTTTAAAATTATATGTAGTTTGTATATAATGTATTGGTAATTAAGAAACAAAAGCCTACATACAAAAATGTTTATTTGAAATAGTAGATGTATAAATATTTAGTAGATTAATTGTTAAGTTTTACTTAATACACGTGAACTATAGCTAAATAACTATTAACGTTTACATGTTCCCTGTTAAGTATAGTTGATTAAGTGTTAACTTTTTTCTTTTATATGTGAATTGTAGCTGATTAACTATTAACATTTAGTTGTTCCATGTAAAGTATAATTGAGTAACTGTTAACTTTGTTCTTTTGAATGTTAAGTATAGTAGATTAATCGTTATATTTTACTTAATGCATGTAAACTATAGTTGATTGACTGTTAATGTTTACCTATTCCATGTTAAGTACAATTGAGAAATTGTCAACTTCTAAATTATGAGAACTTAATAGGTACTTGATTAGTTGTTAAGTTTTAGTATAAACTTAATAGATACTTGATTAA